AAGCCTACTTTATATACACTCAGTTCTATTCCTTAAGGGTTGTATGTTGTATCCGTCTATGAGTAGGTTACGTTATAAAAGATAGGAACATAATAACTGTAATTCAAAATATGACATGGTTATAGGTTTTAGTTCAAATTAATCGGCCTCACAAGGAACCACCTATGGACATTGATGGGAATATCTTCAATAATGCACGCAGGCCTCAATTATAATAATTTTGCATGCATGTTTTTCTTCCGTTGTTTGAAATTTACGGCACAAATATATAAAAAATCCGTGTTGTAAGCGGCATTGAGCTTTTTGAATGAATTAGTACAGTAGCTTTCTTGCTTATTTGCTTATGGGGAAATGCTACGAATAAAGAGATTGCTTTTATTTTTACGTTTTTATAATGCTGTAACAATTCGAGAGTAATGTTTAATTTAATATTGCAAATAGGTTCACACGGGTTTATTGAGGTACCGTAATTACTAATCTTAATATTTATAAGCCTCATTTTCGTATTATTTGTAAACAATAAGATTAAAACAAAATTACTGATTAAACTAAATACATTACTCATACATACAATTTACAAGGCTTCTCCCTTAAGTCTTGAATACATTTTATGCAATGCGAGATTTTTGCTATTACAAAGTTTGTTTACAAATTAGAAGAAATACCGACATGCTTAGATAAGATAGGCCTACACATGCAGGTGCCTGCGCGTAGGCTGGTAGGTTATCGGTGTTATCAGATCACATTTAATATGGCACATGACTGTAGGTGGATACGTTTTGATGTGAGTCCTGTCCTATCTAATGTGCGAGATAAACGTTTACGATGACAACCTCAGACGCAATCGAAGGTAGAGGACAGTTCGGGGGTCAGAGGGTCAAGGATTGCGTTGAAAGCATTCACTTCACGTGCTTGTTTATATCAGAAATGGATGCTTTGAATATTTCTCAACCATGAAAACCTGTTTTTAGGCAGCATATTTTACAAGTCGAAGTATTCTTGGAATACATAACTAATTTAGTCCTAAATGTGTAAAATTTGTTCACATTTTGATGAACCGTGACTCTTCAATACTTCGTCTACGTTTATTCTGAAATCACTTAAAGTGTCATTATTCTTATCTTAGTTCAAGTAAGTAGATATAATAAAGCCAATAAATACCTTTTATAGAACTGCTTACTCTTTAATACTGTACCAATTACACCTTATTACTTACTACTTAATTAAAGAGTAGACGCCACGTATACTTCGATTTCGTTCATAGGGGTCTTTAGCTGAACATAGTAACAAAGCTGTCACTCATTAAAAATTCATCGTATACTCATCTTAACCCTGCGGTAAAAATATAATACAAAAGCAATACAATCTAAATCATGTTACTATGTAGAGTAAGATGAGGCCTACTATGTTATATGTTATAACATGTACAATAAACTTTATATGTGCACATATTTCTAATTTTGAAGAACTGCATGCTCTTATAGTATACTCTGAATTTAACGGTTCAGTTGCTAGGCTGTTCACTCTGACGACCCAGTTCTCATAAGCTGGCAAGGTAAAGGTTTGACTTCATGCACGCTACGTCGCTACAGTGTAGTGTTCAAACCCTCCAAGATGTTATCTACTCAGGACCGCTATTGTTGGTATTTTTATGATCGCATTTCCCACAGTTTATTCCTACTCTCGCGGCATTTCCTTGTTCACGTAATTCTGTTGTTTTCTCCTAACCTTTTGTTGTATTTACTGCTTTGTTGTAGTGAAGTGAGGTCTCTCAGTGTTGCTCGAAGGTTTTTGGTGATTTAAGAAGACTTTTTATTCGTTCGTACATTGGTACTTTCCTGAGTGTCAGGTTTGAAGTTGGTCAATACGTTGTGCAAGTGTAGACTATATAATTTTTCTTCATCTACTAATTCTTTATTTTTTTGATGAGGAATTGTATGTTATACTATAGTCTACTGAAGAGTCGCCAGTTCGGTGTAACCCAAATCTACTTTATTAATCCTCTGGATTAATAAAATATATAGGGGCTCACCGAAGGCGACGTTGAACGTGGAAACTATTCGTATCTTGAAGCCTTTTGAAAACGGCCGTTGGATTGTCTAATTCGATTGTCTAGTTGAATTTGATTGTCAGATTCCAGTCTTGGAGAGATGACCGCGTCGTACAATTGGTGGAGATATTGGTATTTAGAGTTGAACAATGGTAGTTTGCCTCAAATATTGTGTATTGCTGCATCCGAAACATCGGCCACTATCTTCAAAGATTCAACTTTGCCATCACCTACTGATTACTAAGCTTCGACAGATATAATGTTTAAGACATCATATTTTCTGTTAAACATGTCTAACGATACAAATTCCCAAGTTTGCCAGAGTGTTATCATTTGCAAAAGAAATAGAGTTCTCAATTAGTCAGTACCGGTACTTATTTTTATCCGTGGTTTTACTTAACAATGGTACCCTATATCGTTGGAATCTCCTAAGTGGAATCCTCGGTTATCGAAGGATTTTAATGGACGACCCCTGTAGCCTGTGTGTAGTTGGCCATTAGCATTGTTCTGCGTGCTCGTGCCGTTGCATCACCGCCCGTCCCTCGCCAGGCGCTCCCGTTCCCGCCAGAAAGCGCGGCGTCGCGCGAAGGACGTCCACCTGTCATCGGCGATCAGCTGGTTTCCCCGGCCAGCGAATTGTGGAATGTTCTGGGTTTGGCTGGAATTATAGAAAGCGGGTAAGACAGTTTTAAATTATAAGTAAGAGTTATTCTAATTTGTAATTATTCGTAGTAATCGTCACGGGGGTTTTCTGTAAAGAAATTAATGCAAAACTTGGTATTTTCACTACCCAAAAGGAGGAAGAAACTCCACTGTTCACTGTTATGGTCATTACCTCTATTTTACAATCCTATTTTTGTTACATTTATATTTTAAGTCAGTCTATAATGCAGGGTTTAACATTAAGCATCTACACAGCTCTCCAAATACTTCATGAATTAGATCTAACAAGTTAAGCCTTAAGACTATTTAGATTTAGCTTTTAACATTAAATGCGTTTTCTGAGAGACAAAGCCATTTGCTTTAAATTGGTCCTCCAGAACAGGCTCACAACTCAATGTGACCCAGTTAACCCCGAGATAATTGGCCTCCCCTTCGTATGTACAACCCACGATAGCTTAAAGTTGTATATTTATCATTGCGTACCCTTTCACTATGCAGTGACAAAAAGTGCCAAGAAATACCCCTGAGGCAGAATATTAATTCAAACAAAACATTCTGCTATTCGGGTTACATTTACGTTAGAAAATCATACATTTGGATGTACTTGAACATAACATTCAAGCTATTTCCGAGTTGGAGTTGTATCTAGTTACAAATTGGCTAATTAGACCGTTGCCACACAGATAGGAATCAGCTGGAGTGACTCATCATCCGCCCACCACCCCGGCAAGGCGGGAATTGAATGTCTAATTTGGCGGGTAACGACACTTGACTCCACTTCCTTCCTGCGGACTTCTAGTGCTTGTCATTACCGTAATAATTAGCCCTGTACGTGGCCGGTGTGACCAACACATCACTATGGCCACCTGGGAGAATCATTAATAATCATGCCATCGGGTTTTGCATAGTTGAATATTCAAAAGTGTAATCTCCTGAGTTTTAATGACAGGCTTTGTTTCGGTATTTTAAGTTTGTCGTGAAATTAAATTGTTTTATAAACACGATGCTAACCTTTTTAAGTAGGCTACTACTGCCATTGAATATATACCCTATCCTAAATAGCAAGATTAAAGATTAATTTTCAACTACTGTAGTAAGTAGACGTTTAAAGTAGACGATCGGGTTTTGTCCTTGTGAAAATTTGGGTACACTGTTGAAAATACTAGCGACGTTTCTTTATTATGTTTTACAGCAATCGATCTCCTAGGGTTGACGCCGAATTTTGCAAGACTTGAAGATTAAGATTCTATAAAATTGTGATTGATAATAAATTTATTATGCCAAAAACACGTGGTCTGTTTGTGTGTCTATCAACGATCGTTGGTGTCTATACAATCAAGAAGGCACAAAACAATGCAGGTCTGGTTGCCGTTACCAGTTCCCACTGTTTAACTCAGTTTAGTTCTCACGCTTTGTCAGCCGCGGCGACCTTCACTAATGAAGAGGCTCATAGTCTTACCGGTCAGGTCGGTCGTGTAGTTGATCTGCCTAGACAACTGTGCTGTTACTGGGGACAACCTATTGGGGGTTGTTCAATTGATTAATCGATATTTTTATTTTTGAACGATTGTAAATGATGTGCAAACAATTTACCATTTCGTCAATAGTCCAACATACTGAGTGGAAATATTGCTTTTGAATACTCAAGTCCTTAAAACTTATTCTACAGTCTAAAGCATCCTTTAGGTGTGTTTTTCATATCCGGGTAGCCTTCAGAGTATGCTATTGTTGACTATATATTCTTCTACCCTCCATTTAGTCTTTCTATTGTACAGCTTCAATTTAATTGTTTACAAGTCTGCTCTCAATTTTTATGAATACTGAAATTTGTTAATTACTTCATAATTAAGCTTACAGTGTTTTCTTTTACTATAATTTCATGTTTCTCAAGAATATCCATTTTTCATACCTCCCTCCTGCATTTCAACTACTTTTTAAATTAAGATAATAGACCACAAAGATGGTGGTGTGGTTTTTGATTTGATTTGATTTGACACAAACTTATGGCCACTTCAGCACAAAATAACCATATTTCTGTTGTATGTAGTTAGGTACTTATTGATGGTCTTGTAAAACTTAGTTTTCGTCTTGTGTAAACTAACACAGCAATTACACACTACACAACACAACAATTACGGCAACTAACAGGGTAATAAATTGGTGTATCTGAACCACCTGTCAGTTTTAAGATTTGCAAATTATACTTTTTGCCAGAGATCATCCTACTGCACTCTGGGCACTTGCGTTCTGTTGATCATTACTGACAGTTTTGTCTGGTGTGTTTCAGCCATGAGCGAGCAGTAGACATGGAGGTGCCCAACAGCCCTGACAAGACCTCCAACACTCCCGTCACCACCCTCAAGGTACATCTGCCCAACGGAACCTTCAACGTGGTCAAATATGGCGAAGCCATCGACATCAAGGTATGTCTCAAGTCAACGGTTTCCGTCAATAACAAAAGTTGCTTTGACAGTTATAAAGTATTGGTTGCAATGGCTCAGCAATGCAAAACATTTATTTTTAATGTAAAAGAGTTGGACCATCTTGATCAGTTCCTATTGTTTGTGCAAAGTGGGGCAAAAACCATTTGGTTGAAACATCTTTGTTTTAAAAAGACGATTAAGTAGGATTCTGATGAGTTCTAGTTTTAAAAAGAAGATTAAGTAGGATTCTGATGAGTTCTACTAATCTTTCTGTTGAAAACATTTTCAATTGAACTTATGTACTTACAGCTTTCAGCACTTTTTTTGCTTATCGTCTAAATGGTTGTGATTTTCCACTAAAATATTCACAGTTTTCAATACTAATACTAATATATTAAACATCCTTAAACACAAGTATTTTTAAAGCTTATACAATATGAATAAAAAAAAAAAAAATAAAAATAAAAAAAAACACTGAAATAATTTGCATAGTATTTGATCTTTAGTGAACAGTGGTTGGGTTACCCACATAGTCCATTCCTGGAGCTATAGAATACAGTCCATTCCACCTATAGATTTGTGGATTAACACTCCTTTCTAGCCTACTGCTTTTAAAACGGACAAGGTTGTTGAAAATGTCCAACTAGCCTATGTTCTTGAACTAAACTATCATACACGTTGGTCTTCCATGTCTACATGTAAAAACTAACTTAAAATGATTTTAAAAATTAAATTTAAACAATACTGATAAACCCCCAGTTTATAACCAGTTCAAAATCAGGCTGTAAAAGATCTAAAGCTGTTGCGAACATTTGTTATAACTAATTGATGAAAAACAAGTTCTACAGCATTTCACCAGAAGATTTCTGGACCTAAAATGTTGTTAAACTGGTTATAGTCTAATCAACTACATGATAAATATCTGCTAATGAATACACCTCTAAAACTTGTCTTCTGACTTAAGATAACTGAAAGACCGAATGCTAAAAATATAACGTTAGGGGGGTTACAAATACTTTAGAGGTTTAAAAAACTCCAGCTTCACTGTAAAATAACAAGCATCAAACAACTTCATTAAAAACCTCTTTGCAAGTCAAGGCCCCAAACTCTTGTCCTCGTTTACTTGTAAAGCTTCTGTTATTAAACTTTTGAAAACCTGTGGAAAACTCTCTCACAATTAATAACACTAAATTTGACATTTTCTCATAAAAAATCTAATGTATCCAACATTCTTTACTAGCTTTTGTAGTGTTAAACATATGTTGAAGCAAAGAAATTTTCATTAATAATATGTGTTTAAGATTGTCATTTCAATATTTTGTAAAAATTACACATGTATTAGAGCTTTTTGCTATTTAATATAATATATGTTGCCCTTAAACATGCTTAAATCAACTTAAAACTATCGATTGATTGAATTGCTTGTAGAATATAATTCAACACATTGTATATACAATTGTAAACCCTATATGCCCTTTAAAACTCAAAGCTGCAAATATTGTTTTTTTATCAAACAGGACTTGTTTTATTCAGGCTCACAATTCTTGCAAGTAATTCTTAATTTTTTCTTATATTAGTGATACAGAGATATTAATAAAAAGATTAAAATTATTTTGTAGTCAGATTTGTTGGTTTTACCACAGAAGGGGCTTGGAATTTTTTTATATGTAGGCATATAAGTTGAAAGGTTAAATCCTCAATGTTGAAAACAGAAAATAATCAAAGCCGGCTTTAGGTAGTGCAGGGCCCAGTGCATACAATCAGAGCAGTGTTCCTCACTACCAAAAAAGTAGTGCCAGAACTATAATGACTAACACAAATCCCAATAAATTACTGTATATTACTATTTATACTCCCCCCTTTTCTTTTTTCATAATAGATACGATTAATATAACATTTACAGACTTAAAACATTTCTTTAAATTTTGTACCAAGCGCAGGGCCCCCGTGTTTGGTCACACATTTTGTAGGTGGCTTGGTTTCTCTGAACCACACAGCGTTATTGTGTGATCCGTGATTTGTGATATTCTGGAATCATGCGGTGTGTGATAAAAAAATTAGTGTTTTTTTATTTTCTTTAACCCCACCCTTGCAGCGTGTGATTATATTTTCGCTATGGACAACATAGATGTCAGACTCGTTGCAGTAGCTTTGCTGTTGGAGGAAGAGGAAAATGTAGAAAATGTACTCGTGAATTTAGTAAATGAAGAGCCTTCTCACTCGTTATTAACAGGGAGGAAGAAGGGTCTTTTAGAGTTCTGATCACCAGAAATCTGTTGAACAATGAAACTAATTTTAAGGAATACTTGAGGCTTTCAACTCTGTTGTTTTATGTGGTGTAAAGTTGTATCCAGGAAGAAATGTCATCAACTGCCACAAACAAAATAAAACAACCTATTTCACCATTTCAAAAGTTGTGCTTGATGTTATAAATTGCCAAACATTCTCCTTGATACCATTGTTCTTGTAGTTCTTGTGGGTGAATTTATATAGCACTAAACATTTTCATCAAGCTTAGCAGTAAAACCCTTGTTCTATTTCATAGTTACAGTTTAAGGCCGGCTCTTAAGTTAAGTTTACCTTAGGCTGGCTCTTAAAATAATACAGATATTTTCACTTTATGGTTGTGATTATATTAGATTTTTGATACATTGTGTATTGTGTTGTGCAGGGTATCATCTCTACTGTCACCAGCAGGCTGGCCACAGAGCCTCGGGCTTACCAGCAGTGCTACGCCATGCGGCTACATCACCCGGCTACAGGGGAGATGCACTGGATACACCAGGACACCACCATGGCTCAGGTACTGACTATGACATTGGGATGAGACTACCCAACCTTAGCTTGTTGTCTAGCCGGTCCAATTTCTGTTTATTTGCACAGAGCGACTAAGGTTTATCACATACGCTTGAGGAGAGAATTGTCTTCACTACTCAAACCATCCAAAATGCTGTAATTAAGTAAGGACTAAAGTAAGGGTTATCTAGAACAGTGATGGATGAAATAAGGAACAAGACGTTGGTCTCAGATTTGAACTAGCTCGATTGGCTGCGACAGGAGCTTGTTGGAGATCTTAATTTAGGGATAGTTCTCGTTAATTATTCATTTATATTCTCAACAATCTATTCCTGATTTTTAAGTAGAGTTTTGGTTGGTAGAGTAATGGTTTTGGGATAGGAATCATGTGCTATTATGTGATCTGCAATATTAAGTAGGATGTCCGCTGCAATATTTGTGAACAAACACTAATCGTTATTATTACTAAGAATATGATTCATAAGAAACAATATTACAATAACAACAACAAAATAGTTGTAGTTGGTAACAATTATTTAATATTATTTTTGATGGTCTTATTTTTGACAAACTATTCTGCTTGTTCGCAGGTGCAGGAGAGGTTTGAGAAGATTCACCCCATGAATGAGTGGCATTTTGAACTTAGGATAAGATATTTACCTCTAAACCTTAACCAAATGTATGAAAAAGACAAAGTCACATTCTACTTTTATTATGATCAGGTAAGAACCAATTTACATTTTATTTATGTTATGGTTTGTTGATGTTCTTTTTTACTTCAGCTTGTAGATTAAGTGTTTATTTTATTTATTGTACATATTTATGTGCAAATAGATTATGATTTTATTATTTATCGATAAGACACCAGTTACTGCTATTAAAATTCCATCTAATGGGGGTTTTTGTGTCAATAATTGATTGATTTTGATCCCATAAGTTCTAGCCATATTCTACAACAATCTGTGACAAGGCAGCTACGCCTATGTTGCTATGTCATACATTGTTTCTCTGCTGTTTACCTTGAGTCAGACTTTGCAATTGTTCCCGGTAATCTCTATTGATATTTAAATCACTCATATCCGTTTGTGTTTCAATATCTGACTTGTGTAGACGATTAGTGTAAGATTAGCATACACCAGTCATTCCATACGTAATAAATCATTTATGGGATTTTTTTGGAACATTGACCATTTTTGTGTGATGATTATTGTTTAAACTTCATTAAACCAATATTGATGTAATTTGTTAACTGTAGGTGCGGAACGACTACCTGAACAGTGAAGTAGGCGCTAGGATAGACCAAGACACAGCTGTACAGTTGTGTTGTCTGGAGATTAGGAACTACTTTAAGGATATGCCTCAAATCGCACTAGATAAGAAGTCCAACCTTGAGTATCTGGAGAAAGAGGTAACACCAAAACTTACAATCTTTTCAATTATATTTCATTGTAAGAATGTTTTGAATACTTAATATATATACCGGGTGTCCCAAAAAGAATGGATCAAAAGTAAACTTACATGAACACTGTAGTCTTAAAGATAAAAATTAAAATTTATATACATTTTATTTCTTTAGTCTTTCCTAACATGATTTCACCGCCTAACCTCTACATGTTCTCCGTTGTTCGCTCGGAGAAAGTCAAGGCGGTTTTCAAGCTCAGACCACACATTTGATCCATTCTTTTTGGGACACGGTGTATAATAATAATAATATAATAATTAATCGGCAATAGAAATGAACAGTATTTATGCAATAGTTTTACTTTATAAAGTATATATATCACTTTAAGGACCGCTCTAATTTTAATGTAATATAATATTTAACCCTTTTCTATAATTTACCTTTAATACTTATTAGTCAAAATATGCTGCAGGGTGCTGCAAGGTAAAATAAATATCCAAACATTGCAATATAATTTGTAAACCAAAAGGCAATGAATTAATTTGATTAATTACAGCTCATGAATAAGTCATAAAGTGGTCATACAGTTTTAGAAATTGCTCTTCAGATACTGTTGGTTATTTTTTCAGAATTATATAAAAAAAATCCAATCAGAGGTCTTTTCTTCTTGAAGATAAATGTTATGATCACAATTCTTTTGAATAGCTATCAACAGTAGGCCTACTGTTTTTGTATCTATAAACAACTTTGTATATGTTCATACGTCCATAAAATAGTTGATGATTCATGTACTTTGATCATGAGTTCATGAGCTTGCAACACAATAACATTTAAAATAGTTAGCTGGTGAATTATTCAGTTTTGACTTTAATGTGTGTCTTGTGTGATAGAATTTAACAGTTAAAATATGGGTTTTCACAAAAATATTTGTCACATGTAAGACATTCTGCAGGTGGGACTACACAAGTTCGTCCCCAAGCCTGTACTGGAGGCATCCAAACCGAAGACGCTACGGAAGGCGATCCAAGCGCAGTTCAAGCGAGTGGCTCAACTGTCCGAGGCTGACTGCATGTTCCGCTTCTTTGACCTGCTGCGGACACAATACAACTACCATCATGAACGGTTTACCTGCGCCCTCGGGGTAGGTTCATTGACTAGTAGAATAAATGTGAGGCGATTGTTCTAGTGTTATGAGCGAGGGACTTCTGTTCTACAGTTGTGACTTTAAGTTCTATCAAACCAATTAATTTAGGTATTGTGAAAAGTGAAACGCCATGATCTAGGTCACCTTCAGCTTTCAGTTCACTTGTTAGAATACAATGCAGGATAGGAAGAAAAGATGAAGACTGGAATTGAATAACCAGGCAATAACTTTCTCTCTATTTGATAACTCTTGTCTAAAAGCTGTTGATAACCTTTTTAGCTGACAAGAATAGTATTTGCATGGAAGTGCATGGAAAATAACTATAATAAAACTGATGTTATTTTAGGGACTGTCACAAAAGTGAACATTATTTGATATTTTCATATTTTTGTAGTATAATTTTGCAAGGAAACTTTTTGTGTTATAAGTTGTTAGGTTATAAAGGTTTTGATACCTCTCAGAAATTGTATTACTAGTCAAAGATACAACCTTGATTGTGAATTTGAGTTGATTTGGTAACATAGTGGTTTGTTTATACAAAGGTATGTCATCACTGCTTTTACGAGTATGCCAATACCAAGCCAATCTCCATCTTTTATTTTATTGGTATTTTTTTTAAATTGATTCTGTAGGCTTATTTGTCAAATGAGGCTAAAACCTAAACTCATAGAGGGGAAAAACTCGTAATAATTTGAACTTTTTAACTTCTTTGATCAAAATAAAGCTGTGTATTATGTATCCTTGCAAATTATTATAATGCAATGTTTTTGTTACATAAGAAATTATTCCGGACATTTTACATTAGGATTAAACTAGAAAAGTTTTTATGTCAATTCTTATAATAAGATTTTTTCAGTCGGGATGGTCGATCCCAGTGGAGATAGTGATTGGACCAGACCTCGGCATCTCATACATGACACCTCGGGCACCAGGATCAGTGGTGAGTTTGTTATTGATGCCATCGCAATTAATATAGGGTATGGCCTTTTGGTAAATAATACTAGCCAACTAATCCTTATTAAGTCACATTTTAAAAACAAATGCAAGCGCTGTCTTGCTATTATGTTCTGAAATGGATCCAATGCCCTGTATTTAATCCTGAATTTATTTTTAAGATGTGTGTTGAATAAAGTGATTAACCTTGTGATTAAAAGAAAAATACCATTTCCTTCACAACTAAGTTCAAAACCGGACAGTTTCATCCAGTTCAAACCATAAAAATCTTCTGACTTTTTCTCAGTACTGAACTTACTGATCACAAGGGGACCACAATATTAACTCAGCTACCCGACTTTATTTGTTTCCAATCGGCTAATTATATTCTACATATCTATTGATTACTGTGGCCTCTGTTGCAGCCAACCAAGATGGCAGAGTTCTCGTCAGTGCTGGGTATACAGACTCTAGTCAGTGACTGTGACACTCACCGCAAGGCCATGCTACAGTTGAGAGTGGCTGGAGCTGCGGAGACACTCACCATCACCTGTCCCTCGGCCACGGACGCTGAGAGTTTGGCGGACCTAGTGGACGGCTACTGCCGGCTGCATCATGGCTCAAGCACCTCCATGTGGAACAGGAAAGGTGGGTGTCTAGCGGAGAATGTAGACAATGGAAATAACGTAACCTCTTATAGTGTGTGTTAAAAGAGAGGTAACAGCTGCCATGAATATATTTAGTTGTAATGATTCTGTTATTTGAAAGTGTGTAAGATGAATACCTGACGCATATAGCACCATGGACTGAAGCGCATCTCTAGAACAAGAAAGGTGGGTGAAGGGGGTTAATGTAAAAATCTTGCAAGATAGATAGGTGAATAAAAAAGGCTGCGCCGAACCATAAGTAGCCCTGTGCCAACAGGATTGTTAGGTTGTTTAAACTCAACCCTATTTTTAACCCTAACATAATGTGAACTGGATTCTATCAATATTTATTTATGAGTAGTCCAATAACCTTTGTATTTTTTTACAAGCTGCCATTTGGAAACGATTTCCCTGTCCATGTGCTTCGGCAAAAGGTTTGTTATAATTATGAATTGAGATTAGCAGATTTGATCACTGAATCACGAAAAATAGGTATAATACACATTCATTATAAGAAGTTGACAACAACTTAGAAAATTGTGTGTTCTATTAGAATTGTGTGTATAATATTAGAAGACAAATTATTATCGTTCATTTAGGCTAATTCAAAGAAATATTTCTAATAAAACACCTATTTATTTAATAAAATTTCATTTGATATAAGAAAAATATGCTATTTGCATGTAAATTAAAAAAATGTCTTATTACTTAAGAAGTTGAATTGAAAATTGGTTGATGAAAATTAGAATAGGGATAAAAAAGCTGTAACTGACTCATCTGCACATTTGCATGGTTTCCACAGGAGGAATGTTCTATTCCACATGTATTTTATCCATGCTATAATCACTTCACTGTCTTCTGATTATGAATACGAGGTATATTACTATTTTCATTTTCCTTTATCCTATTTACAGAATCGGCGAGGCATAGAAAGGAAGAGGCTGATCGCAACGGCACACTGTTGTCTGAGGATTATGCTGAGATTGTTGATGAAGAGGGAGACTATTCTACACCTGCAAGTAAGAGTGTAAATGTGTTGTTTGTTATTATACACTTCCTCCAATAGACCACTTGGTGAGTGCAGTGATTTAACACTGCCTCCAAAACATCAGTTATTATTTCTGAATTGATTAAACCTTTTGGTCTCTATTTTTGAGCCTAAAATGAAAGGCCTGCCTGGCCAAAATCCATTGACTTTTAATATATCTTTTCCGTAATGTAAATGCTTTACGAAGTGTATTGTTGGATGGCATATATGGTTACATTTGTATGTTGTATTGCAGCCAAGGACTATGAACTGACCAGGGTGCAGGTGGAGCTGGCAGAGATCATTGGTGAGGGCCAGTTTGGTGATGTACACAAAGGCACGTGCAAGGTCAGAGACAACGTAGTGCCTGTGGCTGTCAAGACTTGTAAGGCGGACGCTGACATGGCTACTGCGGAGAAGTTCCTCGAGGAGGCTTGTAAGTAAATAGGATCAACCTGTCGAATCTTGGTTTGTGGGAGATGATTGTGTTGTTGAATTGACAAAAAAGCTAGTTGAAGTTTTTGATTTGTTGCTGCAATAAATTTTCGGAGAAAGAGCTACAATTTGATTGTCAATTGTGAATTGTTGGTCATTGGTCATATCTTAAAGGCCATGATTTAATTTGGATGTGAATTTGGAAGTATACTCTCTAAAAACTAGTTATACTAGTTAAAAGTATGAGCTGTCAAACTCATTGCTGTTGCAACTCTTAAAGTTGAAATAAATAATATCTTTGATACATGGTTTATAGTGTATAACTGATTAAATGGAAGTATATAATTTTCTCAGGACTAATATGTCTACCTAGTTTATTGTCAACACCACCCATAAAAAAGTTGACTATTATTTGTTTATGTAGAATAGTATTTAATTTTTTTTTTGGACTAGTATGGGTATTTTTATCACTTTATTCAATTGCTAAACAGCCCAAGTGTAGGCTACTTTAAAATAATAAAAAAATAACAAAACAAAATTAACTGTGAAAAGAATGAAATGCCCTGTGTAGCTTCTTTATTGATCAAGACCAGCTGAATACTTTGTCAGGATAATGTACTAAACACTACACAAGAAAAGATGTACTGGGTCTAGTTTGAAATGTTATTAATCCTTTTTCCAAGATAAAATCATTTATCTTTATCAACATTATCTTATAAACAAGCGTGATAACCAACTGACTGCCCATTTTAAGTTAATTATTAGAGGATAAATTGATAAATAATAAAATATCACTGCTATTACCAACTATCTCCTAAATAGACTACAGTAGAACTCCGATTATCCGAATCAATTGGGACCAGACCCCATTCGGATAATCAAAAATTCAGATAATCGGAGTTTTACAGGAATTCCGGGAATTTCCAAGAAAAATCCTCATTTCCGGTACTAAATGAATTTTTAATTAATAATAAATGAAATCAGAACATTTTTACAGTATACAATGCTCTTAGCACAAGTGTTCTAAACTTGTTCTTAATAACAATTCTTTGATATTTTCCAAACCTTATTATTACTGTAGCTTTACATTATTAAAATTGTTGAAATAAGCGATTCGGATAATCGGCGATTCGGTTAATTGGAGTTCGGATAATTGGAGTTCTACTGTATCTCTAAAAAAGGTAACCATAACCTCTTCCACTTGTTCTTGACACATTTATGACTTATTTTTGACAGCTCTTTTTGTACCAATACCAGTCTGTTCTGATTCAGGCATATCATCCACATGGAAGTATTTTCTCAGTATTTAAACAAATTTTACCCTCCCTATCTACCTTACTAACTTTGTGCAGATTTGATTTTCTCATTAAACAAACCAACAGTTATATGAATGTTGTATGATTTGCAGACATCATGCAGCAGTTTGAGCATCCACACATCATCAGATTGATAGGTGTGTGTTCAGACTCTCCTATCTGGATAGTGATGGAGCTGGCCAAGCTGGGAGAGCTGAGGGCCTACCTGCAGAGTAACAAACCTCGGCTAGACCTGGCCACTCTAATACTGTATACATTCCAACTGAGCACGGCCCTGTCCTACCTGGAGAGCAAGAAGTTTGTCCACCGGTAAGTATTATGTTTGGTTTTATAAAGAGATAGACGTAATTGTACTTTTAGTTTGGGATAGAACAGGATTTTTAATACCTTCCTGATTTTTGGGACGGAAACGGGATAGGATTTTTTTTCCTGGGCAAAAGGAAAACTCCCCTTCGGCAAGCGGATTACCACTCAATTTTTTTATAACCTAAGTTGAGTTTTTAAGTTAAGATATATTTACCAGTAGTAAACAGTATTGGCTATATTAATGACACATTTTGTAATATGTAACCAGCACATCACCTGCCCTCGTGGGAGATAATTTGAGTTTGAAAATGTCTTAAACACATTGAATAGCACTAAACAAACAGTTTGTTTGTAACATTTGTTTTTGAGACTAAAGGGAAGCAGTGCATGTGTGAGTCATTTGCAAGTAGCTGAACTATATAAAATTCAAACCAAAATAATTCTGAACTAGGTAGTGTTTAAATCTGGCTAATTAAACCAAACCAGCTTCCGTTAGAGATTCCACCCAACCCACAGTTCAAATGTTTATGGATTTTAAAAAATTTTCTAGTAGATAATATATATTTTTAATTGATTTAAGAATTTATTTGAATGTACCTCAAGAACTTTTTCCATGTTTATCCTACATTTTGTGTGATGCAGGGACATTGCTGCTCGTAACGTGTTGGTGTCGTCACATACCTGTGTCAAGCTGGCAGACTTTGGTCTGTCGCGATGGGTGGAGGACCAGAGCTTCTACCAGGCGTCCAAGGGCAAGTTACCCATCAAGTGGATGTCCCCGGAGTCCATCAACTTCCGAAGGTTCACAGCAGCTAGCGACGTCTGGATGTTTGGTGAGAGATCTGATTTGATAATTTCATTTTCAAGAGTTGTTAGCCTCCGGATTAGGTTTGAATATTTATAATGGTTTAAATACCTGCATTCAGCAATCCAAAATGTTGCTTGTGGCAACTATAGTTTCAATTCACAGGGAATCATCTTCAGGCCGTACAAGGCGTCGTTATTCATGTCCGTATATAAAGGTCGTCATTTAATAAATAAGTACATAGAACACATGAAAACGCACATTGATAGACGGACATTTAACATTAAAAATACCGAGTACTCGGAGACACGAGACAGGTGACGCGACCGGGTGGAAGTTGTAGCTTGAACTGGTGGTCAGCGGTCAACATGGATGATCACTGCCGGCTCGCATTCATTCCTTCTCTCCTCCTCCCCCATCCAGTATTTTTACTGCGGTGTTATAAATGGAATTCGATTGGAATGAGAGTTTGTCATTTAAAACATTTTGACCATCTGTTTTGACTGCCTTGTATATTTCAAATTCTTCATAAGTGTTAATGGTTGATCGGTCTTGGAAGCGATGTAAAATGTTCATGTTACTATTTATGTTTACGTAATTGTGGTTAAGTGAAATTAAATGGCCGGGGAAATTTGAGGTTTAGGGGCCTGTAGTCTTCTTGGGGATATGTTCTCTGAAACTCTTTTTGAAAGAGCGTGAAGTCTGTGCGATGTAGTATTTTGGGCAATCGCTACAATTTAATTTGTAAACCCCAGACTTGTCATAAACAGTGGAATCCGTTTGTTGCCGTTATTTCAATAAGGATCCAAGCTTGTTTGTAGTTCTGAATGATACTGTTATATTATTTCTGGTCATTATATTTTTTTAAAGTGTGGCTTAATGACGAACCATATTTAGCTGAGATATAATGTTTCTGATTAGAAGCCTTAGAGGTTTTATTTAAGTGTTTATAAATTAAATTGTCTATTAAACAGCTATTGAAACCATTTGCAACCGCTATGTATTTTATTGTGTTGACTTCTTTATAATCATTATCACTCATTGGTACTGAGAGCAACCTGTGAACAGAACTGTTGTATGCGGCAATCTAATGTGAATAAGGGTGGTGTGAGATTTGATAAAATTTAAATTTGGATATTTCACAGGTTTTTAAATAGTTTTATAAACATTTCATAGGTATAAAACAAGTTAAAAACATGTTTTACGTAATCATTCATAATTAAGTGTCTTAATCAATTTCAGTTGTGCTATTTGTAGTTTTTTGCTGTTTTGGTTCATATTCGATGAAGCTGGGTGTGATATTAAATCCCTACTTAATTAACCTGGCAAAATACGTTTAAAAATTAATTAATAGAATATTTTTATTAATTAATTAAAAAAAATTAATTTCTAAATTAATTTTTAATTTTTTAATTAAATTTATTTTTAAAGTAGGTATCATTATTTTAAATAATTTTGAGTAACCTAAGAATTTGCCCTGGTACTTTATATACACAGTATAATGATATTTCTTCCTAAAAAGATTATCAAAGAAAAACAACTAGTACTTTAAAAACACATAGGCCTATTAGAACAACAGAAAAACTGCAGTAAAAAAATAGTATTGTTATGTTGCAACTATCTATTTCATTTGAGATAATATCTTTCTTTTTAGCCTTTAGAGTTCATGTACACAATTTAAGTTTTGCATGAAAACCAATTACATGGGCAGATTTTAGAGCGTCTTTGTTCCTCAGGTGTCTGCATGTGGGAGATCCTGATGTATGGTGTGAAGCCGTTCATGGGTGTGAAGAACAACGATGTGATTGGCAAGATAGAGAATGGAGAACGACTGGCGCTGCCACCCAGCTGTCCCCCCAGACTGTACAGCCTCATGTCCCAGTGCTGGGCCTACGAGCCTAGCAAACGACCCAGCTTCCGGGACATCAAGGAGACTCTCAAGTATGTTGGCTTTTCTACCTTACAGTAGTGTTGATTATGAGATTGGTCATATTGGTTTGATATAATCAGGCTTGCCTTGATATGTTGTCTGATGAGTGGAAACGTGGTAAGAAATGTGTAAACTTTCACCTTATAGTAAAGCCAGTTGTCGTAAACCCACCTTCTGGTGTTTCAATGTTAAATTTGTTTCATTGATGGTCTGGATTTTTGGTTAGGGTGTACGACGTCTATCGTACAGTCACCCATAAAACTGTAGCTATGTGGTGAAAACGTCATGACCTTGTGGGTAAGCTGTAGGTCTGCCTAAGTTTTTCAGGAGAGGAGAATTCCTCCCTTTCTTAAGACCAATGTGTATCATATGTCATGTTTAAGGTAATTGTTTAAGGAAAAACCATTTGTATTAGTTCAACCTATGCTTGCATTTGAGGTTTTTGAACATACCTTCAAAGTACATCCTCCCACAGAAAATAAATCGGCAAAAATTACCAAAAAGTGTTAACTTCAGTGACACATAATGCTTGAGTTCTATTGCTGCTTTGCCGCTATATTGCTAACACAGACTTCCACAAGTAAATAGTTCTCTTTTAAGTTTATCCTCAGTGGTGTAACAATTCTTTAATCTAACATTAACTTGTGTTTACAGTGAAATTCTGTTGGAAGAGAGGGATCAGCAACAGGAAACTATGAGGAGAGAAAACAGAAGAGTTCAGGCAATGTCTTGGGGTGAGTTGTGTTGTTAGTTTTTAAGTCCAAATTTCCTTAGTTATCATCATAAAATAATTTACTTAGGCTATGCTGTAAATAAATAAATTTAATTTTAAAAGTAATTGCACCATTGATCAATAAAATGTGACAGAATAATGATGAATGTAACCTGGGATTAACATAAAACCTAATTAATTAATTTAATTATTCTCTATTATCATCTTTCCTTCTTCAATTTATTGTTTGTGGTTGGTTTTCTGTATAAATTTTACATTTAGTTTTTAGGAAAATGTATACAACAACCAAATTAACTAAAGAAAAAGCCCATACTGGTGCTCAACCGATCATCTTTTTTGTTGTGTTAGGGACCTGCTTGATAAAGGATATCAATTTTAATATTATTTGTAAGCAACATAATTTTAATATCAATTTGAGTGTTTAAACATCATCTTATTGAAGTGTGAAGGTAAGTAGTTACAGTACACTCTCGATTGTCTAAGCCCCGGTTATCCAAGGTTGTTTTAGGTCCAAATATGTATATTTTTTTAATTTTCGGTTAGAAAAAAAGAATTGCGTTATTAATGCATGTTTCTGTTACAAAAAAATTGCCATTAATTTGTGATTTTGTTCAAAATAATACTTGAAAAATTCATAACACAAGTTTAATTTTTATGTATGTCTTATCTGAAATAACTTACAAAATGAAAATGACACAGTACCAGTTTGGCCCCCAGCCGCGAGCTGGACCTCATCTGTAGAACGTAAAAAATAGCAGTGGCATTTACCTATGAGATTGCCTTTTTCACTCTTTGTCATTAAGATGTTTTGATGATATTTTATTACATATGTATTTTAGTAGATTTTTATATATTTTAGTAAATATGTAAAATCACATATTTTACAAACATTTGACTTCCTAATGTGGTACCGTACCATAACCCATAAATTCAGCTATCCCCGTGTTATCTGAGATTCTCAGTGACCGAGGTAATTTCAGTCCCAACAACCTCAGTTAATTGGAAGTGTAACTGTACAACTGTGCCATAAATATTTGCTTAAAATCTACAAATGTTTGTTCAGTACTATTACAATACACGTACAATCGTTTATGAAACAACACATTCACTTTTATGTGTAGCTGGAAAGGTCAATTATCATTATCAAACAATTATCAATTATTTAAATGGGAATTGAATTTAAATTATTTAAATTCAATTAATAAATGGGGACGCCACTCTAGATATATTATCATATAAACATATTAATCCTTGTAACACTTGTTGCAGGGTCTAATGGCTCAGATGACCCACCACCGCCCAAGCCATCACGCTACCCGGGGGTCAGTGACTCTCTCTCTACCGCCTCCACAGCCGTGGTCGGGGCGGAACCCTCCGTCTCCACCTACATCGTCGCTCAAAACCCTGAGGTGCTTGTCCATCTGCTCAAAGAGAACGAAGCTCGCGGTCTCAATCCGTCCGTGTACACCACTCCCGCATCGGCATTCAACACTCTTGCGGTAGATTTCCAAATGATCAAGTCGGACGAATCCGACAGCACTCTTTCCGCTGGCAATTCTGTCTCGACTCATAGCTTGAATAACGATCCGCCTCGGAAAAACTCTCTAACCCAGGCTTCTTCTGATATCACCGAGTCCTATCCTTCATCTATGAATAAGTCTTTGCCTCGCAATTTCGGTGGCAGGAGTAGCAAGCCGGTGTTGGTCAGTGTGGGTAGGAAGGTCACGGGGTCTTCAGAGGATGTGGGCTCCAGTAAGGAGGATCTTGCTAGACCTGCAGGAGCTCTGGAGAGGGTGATGGTTTTCTCGGAATGGGCGTGCTGTTTTGTAGTTTTGTCATTCCAGCTTCACTAAATTTCTCTGGCTGTTGCATGATCGTTGCGTTTGAAAATACATATTTTGTAAATATATTTCCGACTGAAAAAACCCACTGCATGTGTCTAGTTTACGTTTGGAATGATTTATATTTAATCCACTGCGATCTGTATTGGTCATGTTTTGAGAAATGTGATCCGCAATCACTATATTTTATTCGATCCGATAATTACCTAGTGCAATTGAACTTAAAGATCATCATATTTGTAAGGCCTCTAAGAAGCTATTTTAGCATTTAATGAAATCTAAAATTAGTTCTTTGGTAAAGTATATTTAATGAGTTTATGTGACAGTAAACTATTGTTTTAACAAATATAAAAAAATATAAAAATTTAATTTCAAGCATTTTGAGGGTGTATTGTAAAAGCTAAAAAGTAAAAATGTCGGTATTAATATTCTATATAAGTTTCTATCTCTTACAATCTTTTGGAATGATTTATCTGTTTGAATTAAATTAAATCTCTTTGCACTGTGCATGCATTCACTGTAAATACTGTCTTGATAGTGAATTTTGAATTATGTAGTTGATATAGTTGCACCAACGCATGACACATTATTTAATTAATTTTCTTATTTTGAAAACTTATTTGACCACAAACATTAATTTATCTACACTATCAGTTTACTTTTTACTACAAATTCCAAACTGATATTAAATTTTATCATATTCTTTTGTCTGTATTCAGTTTTGGAAGTTTGATTATCATTTTTAGGTTTTATACAGTTGATTTATAAAAATAGGTTTTTGTCTAAAATAATGTAAAAATTTATATATTTTCCTTATAAAAATATCAATCATCTATATATTTATACTATAAATTCCATTTCGTATATTTTTTTATGTATACAAATATACAGTACACTATTACATTCTCCTTAAGGTCAATTAATGTTTACAAGTGGTTTAATAACCTATAAATTTACTGTTTTGTTAATTAATGATTAGCATTTTGTGTATTTTTTTATTGATGAATTTTTACACAATTTTAACCAATTATGCACGTGATATGTGACTATAATTGTCAGTTACTTCATTGATATGTTATATATACCGATTTAATGAGGAAAATTCTAATTCAAATTCTTGAAGCTGAGATTACATTAAATTTTTTTTTTTAATTTATTGATTTTCTTATAAATTTATTTTTTCCCTAAATGCTAATAGTAGTGGTATAGCCTACACAGATTACTTTAAATTGACCCTAGATCATATAAACTAGCTCGATAACTACTATCTTTCATATACAGGGACTGTGAATTTATGAGTGAAAAAAAAAATGTTTTAGAAGTAGGCTAAGGTAAAATGCAATGCCTCTCTTAATAAAGGGATTACTATGGACTATGCATTGCATTTATATAATTCTTTAAACAATTTTGCTATAAGTCATCAAGGTTTTAACTTCATTATAAATTATTGTTTAACATCGATGTTCTGCAAATTGTTTGTTAACAAGGGTTTATTAAGGGGGAAAAAATCTTCAATAGTTTTAATCCTGAGACTTAGAAATGAAGTACACTTGATCAATATATAAATCCAATAGGTCTGTCTCTGTACATGTGTCAAGTTAATTGACAGTAGCTTATTCATGTTTGCTGATTGTAACCGTTGATGTTTGCCCATGTAGCCGCTGTACGGAGACAGCCTGCTGAACCACACACAAGACACAGACCACTACATAGAGACTGAACAACAGCTGTTAGAGAGGAGACTTAAACAACAGCTAAGAGAATCACAGGAAGACAGCAAGTGGCTACAGGAGGAGGAGACACAGCTGGTATGTACAAGAAAACTGTTCAATTATTGCTATTATTGTGTTTTAGAACGATACAAAAAACCGTTTCACGACTTTGAATCAATTGAGAAATAGGTTTGTTAGCTGTTATTTAAATATCACCTTGATTAGAGTTTCCCAAAGCATTGTCTGTCCCTTTCTCAACTTAAAAGTCGGCTCCTACAGATTCTAGTTTTTTAGAGTCAAAGAGAAGAAATGATGTTCAGTAGTCTCATTTGAAAAACAATTTACAGGATGGAAAGCTTGAGTCCTCATGGTGAGTTGTCTAAGGGCTAGGAAATTCCCCAGGAAGCTCTTATCAAGGGGACATTTAAATTTATCAGAATTGCAGGTATTTGGTTAAGTCATACAGGTTTTCCAGAGGAATGCTAAAAGCCAAGTAGCTCACACATATTAGACTGTAAGGACTGTGTTTTACATACCCTAAGTTAACATTAGTTGGAATAGAAAGGATAGAAAACATATTAAACTTTTGACAAAAGTTATGCAAAATTTTTTCTGTGGTTTAAAAAAATTTTCAGATAACATCTTGTTTCTATCATGTAAAGTGTTTGTACGTTCCTAAATTCAAATGCTTGGGTCGAGTTTGACAAAATGCGTAGATTCTTTTTTCCAATTTTAACTAACTTTCCTACTTTGTACTGTTCCTTGTAAATACTACAAGTACAACGTACACGGGTGTCCACTTAAAAAATTCTTTTTTATGTATAAGCATTTTCATTACGTGAGGTAAAACTATAACCACTATCCATTTGGTTGAATCTTCAACCAATACCTTGAGCTCAAAGGGTTTCAAAGAAAAAAATCTGACAATAAGCTAGCAAAACGCCTTGGTCCAAACTGTTACCAACACTAGTGCCGGATTAAAATTTTTTCAGGGTTTTGTAGTGAGTGATTTCTGGTTTGTTTGTTACAGAAGAAGAGGTTGTCTATAGCTCCGAGTCTATCAGATACAGAGTCCCTGGAAGGAGAAATATCACCCCCTCCCCCTGCACCGTCCACAGCCACCCGTAGTGACTCCCTGGACAGCCGAGGTAGCGGCAGTTTAGCAGCTGGATCTGATGAGAGGATAGTCATCGTCAAGGTGAGGGAGTTGTGTACAGTTAAATAGCAAGAAGAGTGTAAATAACAAAAGTCCAAAGGGAAAGTTACCCTTCAACCATTCTCTCACCCACACTGTTCATTGTTACTGTCACCATTGTTCTAGACTAGTCCTAGTTTACTGTGGAGTTTGATAAACTGTGTGCACAAACAGTGACGTCATTGTACACCTTTGTCCCTTGAAAGTTAAGTTACTTCACTGAATAATTTGGACTTTTTTATTTAAAGTTACACTTTAATTAAGTTGATTAGTTTTGTTTTAGTTAAGTGAACAGTTAAGCATAGTAAGTAAACAAAGTTATTCCTTGTGTACATTGAAATAAAAAACTACAAGTTTTAAAAAGACTGGACAAAGTGGAAATTGTGTATAAATTGTCATTTTAATATGGTGTTGGTAAAGCAACAATTAGTGATTGGAAAAAAATCACAAATAATTTTTTATACTAATGTTCTTATTGGAACTGTCTACTAGCAATGAGACCAACTCAAGCATCAATGATATCAGACCCCTTAACACGTTCGCGCCAGGAGCTAGGAACGTTCCGAAACGTCGCTGTTCATTGTTGTTTAACGTTACAATGGATCAGCCAGCTCGTCACAAGCGTACTATATTTCTTTGCAGCTCGTGGGGACGTACTTTTCTGACAATAAAAAATATAGTTTCCCAAAATCACCACCAGGGTCGTTTAGAACAGGGCTTTGTCCCAACTCTTTCCTGCTAGATAGCGACACTACTTTACCGACTGCAACCTGGGTATTGCTGCTATCTATCAGAATCACTTAGTCTTAGTACTATGTCCAAAGCCTGTTTTATTGCAGAACATTGCCATCCAGTATAACTACTGTTGTTTTTACTGTAATTCAGTGTATCGGCAGCAATGTTTACGCAGCGGCGAGCGTTAGTTCAGCTCCTGGCGCCGTTCCAGCATCTATCGGTCAGCAGCGAACATGTTAATCTCCATCCTTTAACAACTTGGCACTAAACCCTTCTTTTTTCACAGAAAATGGAACCGACACCGACGGCAGATCTGGACAGGACGAATGACAGAGTGTATGACTGTACAACATGCGTGGTCAAGGCTGTCATGGCTCTTTCTCAAGGTAGGTTTTTGTCCTTAAGTAAGTCTTGAGGTGTTAAAATGAAGATGTATTGATGTCAATTTTTTTTTCATATGTTTATCTTAAGTACAGATAGTGTTGTGGTAGTTTTGATGTTGAAGTATTTATCAATTGTGATATTTTGGCAGGTGTTCAGGCAAGTCTAGCGTCCCAGTACCTAGATCTGGTCAGGAAGGTGGGGATTGAGTTAAAGGCTCTGCTACAGAGTGTAGACTGTTTGGTGCCTCTGTTTCCAGCGTCCGCTCACAAAGAGGTGAGTTGTACAGAACTTCTTTACTTTGTAACTGTAAAAGCCGTTTGAAAAGAGCACAAACAAAATGCTAATAGAATGTAGATCATTCAAATGATTGTGATAGTCATTTAAATTTTCAAAGCTTTTTTTTCAAAACTTTAATCAGTTGCAAAGCACAACTGTAACTGTACTATAGAAAACTAATCAAGCAAAATAACCAAACTTAACTTAAAAATCTTAAACTTAAAAAACTTAAAAAATAAGAAATGTATAAACAAGGTTCAAGGCTCAACAAGGTTAACTTTTGACGTAAATGTAAATATGTCTGTGATGCGTTACATGTTGTGTGTTGCAGGTGGAGATGGCTCATCAGGTGTTGGCCAAGGACATGTCAGAACTTGTCAACACCATGAAGCTTGCCCAGCAGTACAGCTCCACTACCCTGGATAACACATACCGCAAGTGAGTAGTTACCACTTACTTTACTTTTATTAGCACAGTTTTGTTGTGTTCAATAACAATTGTGTTTTATTTCACTACTAGCTTGTCAAAACAAAAAGTGTTTTTCGGAAAAGTAAGTAGTTAAAGTAAAGTCTTAATTTCTGACTCAAAAGATGTGCTTTAGGCACCTGCACTTGTTTGTATTTTCTGATTATTTTAGTCCACTGTATAGTACACGGTTTGTCAACTCTGTGTACCTGCATTCCTGTTGCTAGTGTCTGGTCGCAGAACAAACAAATACCTTGGGCTAGGTGGACGTTACTAATTTAATGATTTTACATGTTCATAATGGTTTTTATTATTCTACTTTCCGTCTATCCTACCTTCCCGCTGAAAATTAAGATTGTACAATCTAAACTCTACCGCATGTGTAACCTAAAAAACAACCCTTGCTAAAGTTAACATAGTACAACTTAACACAACTGTTTTTATATGATTCAAGAACAGTGTTTTGATTGTAAATAAAAGTAAAAAAATTACAAATAAATAAATAATTTAAGAAAAAATATGTAAAATATCTAATTTGACTTCAACAGAAATAGCAATATTATTTTGTATTTGGGAAATAAGACCGTTTTTCCTCATACATCTCAAAATGTTACAGTACTTTATAAGGTACATGTTTTACTGTATTATCACTCCAACTCCATTGTTAGTTTTAAGAGAAAACATAACAGTACAGAACTTGTATGTTTGTATGAGGTGAATGAAACATTACAAACACAAGTAAGAAAATGAACAAAGAGGTCTTGAGTAAAAATGTCATCTTACCAATGGCTTCGTCCAGATAAGAGAAATCTTTCATTTGTCTGGGGTTAGGGATTATCAGATTTTAGATTAAAATCCTCCTTTTGTTTATAAAGTTCCACTCTGGCAGCGAAATTACTATGTAATCTCTCTTTTTACTTAATTTTAAGTCCGATCTTCAAGTTTTTATTGGTTTTATAATATAATTAATAAATATAATTTGTGTGTAAAAAATATAAAGATTTTTAGAATTGTTCACGTGACAAAAGTAGCCCAGTTTATGAGTTTATACAAAAAATGCAGCAGTTTTTGTTTAACTTTAAACTGGGTAGTAAATTATTTGTAAGCATAGTTTAAATTAATCTATTTTTCCCCTACTTGTAATTTTTCTCATAACCTTTTTTGGTAAAAAGTGTCCAAACCAATTTATATTTCAGGGAAATGTCTTGTAGCTGGTAAAAGAGATTTTTTTTTACGAAGGAGGTCAACTAGTTTATCTTGAAAATTAAAGCTTATTAGATGAATTCGATAAATTTAATAGAAAGAAAATTATAGACTAATATTTTGTTATAGACAAAATATTATTCAAAACCCTAAAAGCTAATTCAACACTTTTGAAAAGGTGGAGTAGAAAGTAGAAACTATGCAATATACTCTAGGTGGAACTATTTAGAAAGATTAACAATATACTTCCTATCTGAAAAATCCAATTCTAGTGCAACTGTTGCTGCCTTAATTTACTTAGTTATGCTACCCAAACTCTATCTCTAAATTTCTCTACTCTATTAATATATCAACATTATCTCCAATAGATATTTCATCATACTAAATTGTCCTACAACAACTTTTTTCTATACAAGATCAACGTAGGTCATGACCACAATTTTTTGTCATAATGCAAAATTGTCTAAGCTGATTAACTCATAAAAGTAAAACTTCGTATATTGTTTACCTTTGCAGATTGGTTCCCAAAATGGTTTCAATCTAGTTTTTCTTTGAAATCATGTTTTAGCCCCTGAGCTGTGATATAATTAAAACTAGGTATTTACCTTTGTCTACACTACAGCTCAAGCTGTCGTAACCTTTGTTACGGTCATTTTGGCACTATAATGCCATCATCAGACGTAGAAATTCAGCTGGAGTAGCCTCGTCATAGTCAAAAAACACAACACAAACTACATTTAGCATTTAACAAATATACCAAAATTATTGTAATTGTAAATTCATTATTGTTAATTGTAATTTTTGTATATTCGTTAAATGATAAATAATGTAGTTTGTGTTGTTTTTTTCGACTATGATGACGCTACTCCAGCTGAATTTCTATGTACCTTTTGATGGCAATATAATGCGGAAACGGCCGTAACGAAGGTTACGACAAATTGAGCTGTAGTCAAAGGTACCTAGTTTTTCTATTAAATACTAACAGCTATGGTACCAAACTGCCACAACCAACACCGTGTTGTTTGTTTCAGAGCAATGTTGTCTGCCGCCCATGTACTGGCAATGGACGCCAAGAACCTCTTAGATGTTGTAGACTCAATCCGCATGAGACATCCCAACGTAGACGCTCTGATCTGCACCCCACTGCCCCCTACCACGGCACCCCTCGACAGTTAGCCACCCCTCCACTAGACAGCTTACACCAAATACAGCTCACCCTCTCAAGACTTCTATCATATTGCGATTTGATATTACTGTAATTACTTTACTTTGTAAATCGGTATCTATTATTTAAGCGTTATACATATTTATTATATAGTGATATTTTATTTAATGTACATTTTATAGCGCTTTTTCGTATTTGTTAGAGATCAATGAAACAATGCAATGTGGGGATTTGAAAAATTGTAAAGGCTTTTGTATAGTGTGCGATGTTTAAAGGCTAGTTTCCGCTTGAAATATCGTTCCGGTGAAGTTAACCTTTGTACAGTTTAGGTCATATCAGTGACGTTTGGTAGCTCGGTGTTTGCTGGCGATTTGCTTACAGTAGATCCGCTTAGCAATATCAGCTGTATATATGTACTATTCACGTTAGATTTAAGGTACATCCTACCAAAAATAGGTTATAGAGATTGTTATTTTAAGAAATGATAACTATAATTTTTTACAAATAATTAGTTTTACATTGTGTAAAGTTAGTTCTGCTATTTATACATACCACTTTTTGAGATAAAGCACGTTTTGTTTTTTACCTAGACTAAAAGAGTACTAAAATAGAGGTTCTATTGTCTGTTTGAACAGTCGTTTGTGAAATGGTCTGTAATATTTATTCTATGTCAGTAATGTAGATTCCTGCTTGCATTATCACGTTTCAAAGTATTTATTGCATTTTTCACTTTATTATGATAGGATGATAAAATTTGTAATCTTTAAGTATATTTATTATTTTCAATCATTAAGGTTTTTGTATTCAATATAATTTGCCTGTGAAAAATCAGAAAATCATAGCACATTACGAAGCGCTAATTTGTAGTCCTTTTAATTGAAACTCTTGTTTCCATTTGTGAAAGAGACACACTTGGCTACTTTATTGTTAAGAGGTTAAAGGCTAGTCTTTCAAGTCTGATTGTACGCAATATAATTTACAAACTAGGCTAAAGCTCCATCTTATCCATGATCTATAGTATTAATCTTCCAAGGCTGTACCCGATATTCCATAGAGATTAATTAAGTGATACAAATTTTTGTAATTTGCATTTACGTTAAAAATAATTTTCTTTTAATTAATTGTATTTATTTTTTTATAATTTGACAAGGTTGGTATTTTTTTATTTTGGGTGCTTCATTTTTTACCAGTAACAAAGTAAGTTGTGTGATTTTTGTGAATTGTAAAATAAATTAGACTTGTATCTGTGAATGTGATTGTTCTTGTACTCATTTCATTTAAAGAGTTTCATCAAGTAAACGTTAAATAAATTTCCAACTTGATAAAGATTGTTTTTATTTTGTATCTCCAAAATCAAGGGGCAAAGCATTTTGTTTGGTTCATTCACTGTGCTGAAACATCAGGTCATTAAAGTAGCTAAAAGATATAACTAACAAATTTTAAGCTAAGCTGAGATAAGTTTTCATGTCTTCAGCATAAGGGTGATGAATCTATGGTTGTAACCTTTGTTTGATACATTCAGAGCCGGCTGTAGCCATGTGCGAAACGTGCAGCTGCACAGGGCACCCCTGCGCTTAGTGAAAAAAATTAATATGTCAGTTAATTTTACGTCAATTATGAAGAAAGTAAAAGGGGAGAGAATACTAAAATAATACATTGAGACTTTTGTAAGTTGAGTATAGGAAGTTGGGATACTACTTTTTTGGTTATAAGAGGCCCTGCTTTTGATATTTGCATTGGGTCTCGCACCACCCAAGGACAGTTCCAATAGCAGTTATACTTTCACTGCATCAAAACATCAAACCATCAAAGTATTTAAATGTTTCCTACTGAAAATTTGTTCATACAGAAAAAAGTATACTAAAAACAAGAATGGGTCTTATCACAACCTTATTCATAGCTTTTCTCTGAATGGTCGATGCAACTAGGTGTTTCAACCAATGAACCAATGATGAGCGTTTGCTGCAAATGAGGACCATCTGATTCTTAAGCTTGGATCAGTGTGATAATCAATGATCTCTTAGGGTAGATTTGGATCAGTAATTAGCATTGATGAATCTGTCAAATACAAACGTGTACTTTGATTTGCAATGCAAGATGCCTGTTGTAATGCATGATGCCTCACATATGAATATCCAAATTTACAACTGGTGTCATACACATATTGTAAAAAAATAGGTTCTCTCAATTTGCTTTTTTACCATGCAAAAACAAATTGCACCAAGACAAGCTCACGATTTTCTGAAACATTTATGTTCCTTATTAGCTTTATATAGACAATACTTTAATGAAAAGTCATAAAGAGAAACTTCCCTGAAAAGTATTAGGTTTTCGGGGAAGTTTCTCATCTAGACCTTTCATTCAAGTAGGTATGCTGTTTAAGTATGTGAGACTAAATAAATAAATAAATAAATAAATAAATAAATAAATAAATAAATAAATAAATAAATAAATAAATAAATAAATAAATAAATAAATAAATAAATAAATAAATAAATAAATAAATAATAAATAAATAATAAATAAATAAATAAATAAAAAGGCCTTTATTTACAAGCGAGTTTCATATAAATGATTTTCAAACTTACTCAAGTCAAACTAAAACTAAAATAACCTAATATATACATAAATAAAATATACAAAATAGCTACAAAGAAAAAACATTTACAATTTACATTTGTTTTTCTGCATTGCGGCCCTGAATGAGCTATACAATTTGGAGATCTTTATGTCCTGAGGGAGGCCATTATACAACTGCGGGCCAAAATAAGAAAATGACCTTCTTCCAACCTCAAGCCTCACTTTAGGAAAGTGAAGCCTCTCGCTGAGGTACTGAGGCTCTCCCAGCGTAAGCACTTTGTGGACCAGGCAGCAGGTCAGCCTCCTGCACATTTCATCCATTGGGATGAGCTTTGCAGCATCTCGGAAGGAGGACACGTTGTCAAAGAGGTTAAGGCCAAAAATGAACCTTATAGCAGAGTTTTAAATTCTTTGAACTCTTGCCATATCCTCCTTAGAGATGCTGTTTCCATATGCAGGAAAGCAATATGTAAAGGCTGGGAGGACCAAGGACCGCATGAGTTGCATCTTGGAATATTCTGGCAGTAGAGTTTTAAATCTGCTAAGACCTCTCAGTCTACCCACTGCACGTTGAACTGCAGATGTGACATGGTCAGAAAAAGAGACGTCTTTGTCAAGTACAACACCAAGTGTGTTGACAGTGTCGCAAACAGACAATCTCATGCCATCAAAGGTGACTTCTACAGCAGATTTACTCAATTCCTGCATCATAATGTTTGGCCCAGTATGCATGACTACACACTTGTCAACATTCAATCCAAGGCCATTCATGACAGACCATTGAAAAATGCTGTGCAAATCAGCATTGATGAGCCGGATTGCTTCTGATGTCTTGTCTGGCTTGTATGACAAGTGTAGTTGGCAGTCATCAGCATACAAGTGTGCTGTACAATATTCTACACTTCTGGACAAGTCAGACGTGTACAAATTGAACAGCACAGGTCCTAAACAACTACCTTGAGGAACACCACGCAATTTGCAAAGCGGATCTGATGTCTCACTCCCAATTTTGGTAACCTGCAGTCGGGACTCCAAATAGGACCGAAACCAACAAACAACTTTTTCACTACAGCCATAGCACTTCATTTTGGCCAATAACAATTCATGATCAATAGAGTCAAATGCTTGGGAATAATCTAGAATAGCTAACGTGCTGTATAGGCCTTTATCTTTGGCATCGAATAGATCCGCAAACATATTAGTCAGTGCAGTACAAGTACTGTGGTTTTTTCTAAACCCTGACTGTAGCTTAGGCAATATATCAAAGTCATCTAGAAATTAACTAATTTGTTTAGTTACTATCTTTTCCATTATTTTTGACATTGCAGGTAACACGGGGATGGGTCTCAAATGCTGGAGGGTTTTTGGCGCAGCAACCTTAGGCAATGGTTTCACATGGGCAATCTTCCAACTTGTAGGGAAAACACCTGAGGCCAGACTCATGTTTATCAAATGTGTTATTGCTCCAATTGCATATGGGCTAACAGATCTTATCATTTGTATCGATATACTATCAACACCTACAGCTTTTGATTTTATTGAGTTCATTGCCTCTTTAACCGTTTTCTCAAATATTTTTGTCCCTTGTGTTATGTTTTATCATGTTCCTAAACTAATCAAGCTGAAATTATGCAATAAAGATTGACTTCTTGGTAGGGCCAGGATGTGGCATTTTTGCAATGGATTCACAGTTCGTTGTGCTACTGACTGAACCACCACCTCGCCTAACATAGTTTTAAGATTTGGCTTTTCCCTAGATTATATTATTTCTTCAGGCTGATGACTAATCCTTAAAACTGCATACTGTTTTGGTGTAAAATGCTAGTATAGTTAAAAATTTTGCTGTCTACAAATTAGTTTCCAAATAAGAAAGTAACATGAGTCATGAAACAACCAGAGCCCTTTTTGCTTTTTACTCTAATGTTGAAAATATGACAAGGTAACACTAATAGCAAAAGAGACTAAATGACTATTATTTTTAAATCAGAATTTTTAGTTGAAGCCACGTTCTTACATAGTTAGGTAGCAATTTTTATTTTCTTTAGTGTTTTTTAACACATGAAATGACATGAACACTGTTTAAGTTAATGTGTGCAATCGTGAACTTGCAATGAGAGACTCAATACAAACTCATTCTAGAAATTAATTGCTTAACGTCTGACATTTGAGAATAGAACTATTTTGAATGTATCCAAATTTCCTATATAAATTCTAAAACAACACATTATTTTAATATAAACTAAAGTAATAAGTTGTTCAGTTTAAATACCATATTATTAAATACTGGTAGAATCGAAAGGAATCCATCCCACAATCAATAACCCTTACTGCAGAATCGTGTAATACAGTGTTCAGAATCAGAACCAAGCTAAACATAATACAGCTTTAGACTACAATGGATTCAGATTCAATTGAAAGTGATTTGCTTCTGAACAAACATTCCACATTGTTACTTTCTCTAAATGAAGTGCATTGGTTAGCAAATACATGTACTCTGTATGGTATTGGTGTGTTCAAGCCCTTGTGACCCAAATTTAACTTGGTAAATTTTTTTTGTTTTATTATTTTATGCTTCTATTTCAGAACATATATTCCTGAACAATCTCTTGGTATTCTTGGTCCTCTCTCAACCTCACCAAGGGAAAATAAAGATCCACTATCCACTTTTCGTAAATGTGCTATTAAATCTCCAGGCCCACTTTTATAAACGGGCAGACTGGGCATATGCCCAGGGGCGCCCCTCAACCACCGCCTGCCCGCACTAGGAAAACATGGGGGCACTGCTTTTGGGTTTGCCCAGGGCTCCACTGACCCTTAACGCGGCCCTGGAAGTTCTATTAAGTTCTAGTGCTAGAAGTCTTGAATTTAATATATGGTATAAAAGTTAAAGAAAAGAACTCAGTTATGGGTTTAAAGCTTTGGATGATAATTCAATAGAAAATTAAAGAGTTTTGTTTGACCAACTGGATATTACAACACAACTTTAAGAAAAACGAAAGGACTGTATATGAAAAAGTTCTTAAAGCACTTCATCAGTCATTATCATATATCTTATATATTAAAAAAATTTGGTTTTTCTTTTCCGAGTTCGTTTGACTCTTCTACCCGACCGATTTTCATGATTGAGGTCTCAAATTGAAGGTATGCACGCTCAGATTTGCCATCAAGCATCGGCATATATTTATCTATAATCCTACTCGGCTTATACGTAAAAGAAATTTGCTCCCCATGTTATTCTTATGGGAGTTAAATTTGGTTTATCTTTGCCGAGTTCGATTGGCTCTTCTACCCGACCGATTTTCATGATTGAGGTCTCAAATTGAAGGTATGCACGCACAGATTTGCCATCAAGCATCGGAATATAGTTATCTATAATCCTACTCGGCTTATACGTAAAAGAAATTTGCTCCCCATGTTATTCTTATGGGAGTTAAATTTGGTTTATCTTTGCCGAGTTCGATTGGCTCTTCTACCCGACCGATTTTCATGATTGAGGTCTCAAATTGAAGTTATGCACGCACAGATTTGCCATCAAGCATCGGCATAAATGTATCTATAATCCCACGCGGATTATACGTAAACGAAATTTGTTCCCCATGTATTTCTTATGGGAGTTAAATTTGGGGTTTCTTTGCCGAGTTCGTTTGGCTCATCTACCCGACCGATTTTCATGATTGAGGTCTCGAATTGAAGGTATGCACGTACAGATTTGCCATCAAGCATCGGCATA